GAGAAAAAGGACGGGGGCATGCGCCCAATATTGTATTTATGACCGCTAAACAAAGCGCTGGCGAAACGTGCATTCAAGATAAGTACAGTGAAGCAGATCCACGCGCATATCCAGCCCAATGACTACTTCATAGCTGTTGATCTGAAAAATGCTTATTTTCAAATTCAGATAGCCTTCATCTCAGCTGCTCCCTGCGATTTGCATTTGAAGGTGTTGCATACCAATTTAAAGTGTTACCGTTCGGACTGGCTCTGGCCCCCCGCTCATTCACGATGATCATGAATGCAGCACTTCCCCCTGAGACTCAGCTGCATGCATGTGCTGAACTACCTCGCGCACGATACTTGCGTGCTTATCAGCACAGAGAGTTCAGTCCATTCACTATATGCTCTCAATGCCGTTCAGAGCCCAGGTTATTACAATACAGGCATTCTGCCCACCCAAACGCGCCTCTGTGACACTGAATCAGAGGCTGGCCATGTGCCCCGTGCATGTGCTGTGTGCTGCATGCTTATGTAGACAGAACTAGCCAGTTTCGAACTTCGGAGCAGTTTTTCGTCTGCTTCACGGGCGCTAAGAAAATCGGCCCGCTGTCGAAGCAGAGGCTGTCACACTGAATTGGAGAAGCTGTTCGCCTAACTTATGCTTCCCGAGGACTCGACCGCCCAATGGAATTGCGTGCCCAAGTCTGGCTTCTTCATGGGCCTGTGTTAAGGCATGTCAATTCAGGACATCTATCTCGCAGTGGGCTGATCATCTCAGAACACTTTCACAAGGTTTTGCCCGCTCATACAATTTGGCGGAATATGTGAGCACCAACATGTTTGGTACTGCTTTGCTTGCTACTGCATGCGTCTAGTCTACTGTATTGGCTCTTTTCAAGCTGGGCCCAGCTTGGTTTTCATACGGTGGGGTTTTATACGTTCCCCATATGTAATTTCGAGAGACCAACTCGATATGTCTCCGGTTACTCAATGTAACCGTGGTTCTCCGAGAGGAGGAAATGAGAAATTGCATAAGCTGCCGTGTGGAAAACTTCCTCAGAGCCTCAACGACTCTTGCTCAGTCAAAAGATTCTGAGGTAAATTGGTGCCCGATATGGCAGCTGAGCCTGCCAATCAGGTGAATGCTTGAACGCCATTGACTATTGCCAAAGACTATAGAATACCCAAGACGCGTCACTCGTTTAGTTTTGAAAGGGGAAAAATGCAACGCTCAATATGGCCACTCTATTGAACTAAGCCCCTACTTCTGAGAAAAAGAGCCAATCGCTAATCTGTAAAGTCATCTTGTCACTGCAGCTGCCGTTAGAAGTCTCGGTTGCTATAGAAACAGTCTGCATTCTGGAGAGATGCTCTTAGGACTACGCATGCGCATTGGCTGGTCTAGCCTGAAAAATAAGCTTTTATTTCTAACGCTATTGGAGCATAAGAAACAACATTTATGAGACAGTTGTTGTCAGATTTAATTGGTGATTTTAAATCTGAAATTGAATCGTAAACTTTTTTTTTCGTAAAGTTGCACTTGCATGCCTGAGAGGCGTTTCAAAGATGGCCGCCGAGTGAAATTACTTGTCTTAAAGGAACTTTGCTATTGCAGAGCAATAGAGTGATTCAATCAGGCTTCAGCATCTCGGAGGAAAAGGGTTTCCCCATACGTGATGTCTCATTCCGTCCTCTCAGGGAACCACGGTTATGTTGAGTAAACGGAGACGTTTTACCACTTTCATTCTGGTTTACCTGTGTGTGCATAATTGACTATGTCATCTTTAAAGGGGTCATATGATGCTGCTAAAAAGGAACATTATTTTATGTATTTGGTGTAATGAAATGTGTTTATGCGGTTTAAGGTTATTTTCCACATACTGTACATTATTGTTTCTCCTGTATGCCCCGTAGTGTTGGGCGATATGCTCAATTTTCATATCGTCCTATCGTCAGCCTGTGAGATCGCCGATACACGATATTATCGTGCTAATTTATGTAATTATTTACTTAGTTTCATTGCGAGAAAGTGAACCAACTCCAGCGTAAGACTAAAATCAGCCTAATGTTTTTAATATGACTGAATTTGTATTTAACATGATAACAAATTAATAGAAACATCGTAAGTTACTAATTATAATGCTTACATTTCCTCAGTTACTCAAAAAGCAGCTACAGAAAACAAGCAAAGAACATTACCAAAGAACATCATCACAAGCTCAGTCTTTATGCACTTTAAAAACACTCCCGTTAAAATCAGTGAATATACACTGCATGATGAATAAATCTCTTACATCGCACGTACATCTGCGCTTTGTTGTTTGTGAGGAGAGAATTCTCGAGTCAGAAGTCAGTCAGCACGTGCTAAACAACGGAGCTCTGCTGTTTCAGTGATGACTCATCTGAATGCATCTGATTGGCCATTGCATTCATAAGCGCAGCATAATCGTGTGTGATTGGATAGAACGAGCAATACAGTAAAAACGCGGAAAAAGAAATGTAGGCCTAATGCAACAAATAAGCCCTAAAATTAATTAGATAGTATTACTAGCCTGATAATAATAATAATAACAATAATCGTCTTGCTATCGTCAAAGGCATCAGCCACAGGCGATATCTCTGTCTATCGTCGATACACGATACTATCGTCTATCGGCACAACCCTAATGCCCCGCCTTTCTGAAATGCGTCAATTTTTACAAAGCTCATCATTCTGAAAAGCTCTGTGATTGTGATTGGCCGAATTCCTCAAGCGTGTGACAGAAATGTTATGCCCCTTACCATACTGTGATGCCATGTCCCGGCGCGATGAGACAAAACCAATAAAACCCATTATAAACGAGGCATTTGTTGCATCCAGTGGGGACATGACGGCCCTGAGTGTATCCCATCATGCATCATGTTCTGGAAATTAATCGTGAGACTTTTTGCCGAGATCTCGATTTATTCAAATAAAATTCTGCTTAGGGCCACATAAAGGCTTGGGCCGACCTTGTGTGTGTATATATATATATATATA